TCTCCACTACCGACACTTCTTTTCCATGAACAATCGTTTTGCCGCTGATTTCGTCTATAATGAAGACCCATATTTACGAGGATTTCGAGACATACTAGCTATGATGACGTTGCCGACCGACGCGGCTACGCAAAGCGTGCACCAAGTTGTCTTGTAAGCCACAGATCGGATGAAATGAACGGTAAAATTGGGGGGCTATTGGAAGCCAGTCCGGAGAGTCCAACACATTTCTCTCTTCAAGATTCGTTTAGAGAAGTGATGAAGCTTAATGTCGCCTTCGCCCAAATCCCATTCTATTCTTGTGTAATTTATAGGGGCTCAAGCAGGAGCTTTAGTAAGACCGCTCTCCTTTGAAACGGCCCTACGTAACCACCAACTGCTACTTAAATTTTTTAATGTGTACCTCTAGCATGGACACTCCCAGGCTATAGATGTCGGCAGCGGTAGTAGGTGAGTCGTTGAGAATCTCTGGGGCCATGTAGTGCTTGTCGCCTTCTTCAGCTGTGTCGCGGGGGGTCTGAAAAAACGTGATTGTGACCTGAATGTGAGGGCCCTACATGAGATGTTCATGGTAAACTGAGGAAGAAATTATTGGTCGTTGGTAGATTTCCGCATAAAGGAGAGCTGAACAATTTCCTTGGTTTTCTTCCTATTTTTTCGAAAGCGTAGGGCAATACCAATGTGAGGCTCTTCTGTGAAGCAGTGGCTGCTGGACAATTGTTTTGTGAAAGGATGCTTAAGAAACCATTGTGAACACCATAAATAGGGCCTTTGCCGATCTTTAAAATTGTACGAATCTACGATGGAAACGCCGGAATGAAGGGCAAAACTAGATGGATGAAAGATTACAGAGCCAAGCGAGACGCAGACGCCTGCGCATCCTTACCTAGATCATGGAAGAGATGATATTGCTGTGGTAGGCTTCCCCGGATTACGTCTTTAGCCCTTGGCCCCCTTTCACGTATATTTGCGCCACCGAACCGGTACTACTGCTATTGCGAGCGGTCTGCCATATTTCACTGAGCTAGTCGTGGAATATGTCCTTCAGTAACTCTTGCCTATACAAATATTTCAGGGAGATACTACAATTTCGAGGTGAGATTGAAAAGGGTACCTTATTCATGTCGAATGCTAGACCGAAATCTCCCAATTTGCAGATTGAATCCTCAGAAATGAAAATATTTGATGGCTTCACGTCCAAATGCAGTACCTCCTGTAGAGTGTAAGTGATGCAGGGCCTAAATGGTGTTTTGATTTTATTGCCGTCATGGATTACGATGCACCTATGCCTCACCTGAACCATATCGTATAGGACTTTCCACAATTCATTTTCAGGAAGAATTCCACTTCATCGCGGTACTCAGCGAGATTTGCACCACAAAGCTCGGTTTGAATATAAAGGCGACCTCTGAACTGCTGGCAATCGTAGAAGAAACAAAAAACAATGAGTTCATAGCGTTTGAAATATCTGGGCTGCGCGCCACGCACGAAGTGTGCATATTCAGAATCGTCATCTACTGGAATGACCTCCGAGCAGGGTTAGTCGCCCATCCGATCAATGAAGACGTTGGGTCGTATCTGCGATTTTGAGAAGAGGTTGACAAAGCTCAAAGGTCGACGTGAGCCTTGTTTCGAAAAATTGAAAGAGGTCATGGTAGCAAGAAGTGGCCGGTCGTGTGACGGCGTTTTTTGGTAACGTTTAACAACACCGAGGCCCGAAATTACCGTTAACCTAGACAAAGCATGTCTGTTTTTTGTTCTACCGCTCCTTCCCGCTTCACCCTTCTCCCTTCATTCCTTCCCCCTCCCCCTCTCCCTTTCCCCTCTCCCGTTTCCGGTTTCCCGTTTCCCGTTTCCCGTTTCCTGTTTCCTGTTTCCCGTTTCCCGTTTCCGGTTTCCGGTTTTTCCGATTTTCCCGTTTTCCCGTTTTCCCGTTTTCCACCCCTCCCCCTCTCCCTTTCCCCTCTCCCGTTTCCGGTTTCCCGTTTCCCGTTTCCCGTTTCCTGTTTCCTGTTTCCCGTTTCCCGTTTCCGGTTTCCGGTTTTTCCGATTTTCCCGTTTTCCCGTTTTCCCGTTTTCCCGTTTTCCTCTTTCCTCTTTACCTCTTTCCTCTTTCCTCTTTCCTCTTTCCTCTTTCCTCTTTCCCTTTCCCTCCACTTTCCTTTGCTTAACGACTATTCTGAAGAGGAAAGTAGTAGACAAAGCTGAGGTGCGTCGAGTGGTCACTGGTCTCAGAATCCTGTAGAAACAGCAATGGTGATGAAGGTGGTGATGAGTGTGGAGAATCTGCAGTGGGTGCCCCCTCATCGTGTGGTGGGTAGTAAGTATGCGCATCCCCTCAAAGAAATTGGACGTAGAAAATTTCGAAATTGGTCGAGCGCCACGGTTGAGCCTCCCTCAAATTTGTACCTATCTCAATAAATCCAGTTTTAAGGAACTAATTTCTGAGTAGTACAGAATACTTCGTCAGCCCGATCGCCTAATCGCCTACTCGCCCATCGTCTAATCAACGATTTGATTCGCGAACTATTAACTCTGGCTCAAAGCTGCACTATCCGTGACATTTTATCCGTAAGACATTTGTATTCGAAACGAACCTCTCCTCCCAGGCCTTTTCAAATTTGACAATATTCGTATGAGGAGGAATCGCCTCATGGTTCGTCGCTTCACGAAGCTTCAGTTGGCGATTTCCAGCTGATTCGAAGGTGTGTAGAGCCCGCTTCACTGCGTAGCGATTCCCCGTCTCGCGGCACTCAACTTCCAAAGCCTGTAACATGAGGTATATACGACTATCAGCTCATTAGAAGTCAAACACTGCAAAATAGAGGAGTTCTGGGCTTGGAACGTTTAATTTATATCAGTCTTCTATCAATAGGATAGTCCTATATTCACATTACTTTACTTTGTTTGCTGACGGTAAGAACGCAATAACAGTGAAGTACCTCTCCAAACAGGCCTCTTCCTAGTACTCGCAACTCTTTGAAACACTGCTCGAAGTAGCTTCTCTCCTTTTCATACACGTAAATTGAAGACGTTTTTCAACTGAAAATTAGATCTCGTTACATAGAAATTTCATAGACCCCTCAGCAACAAAACAATGGCTCAATGGCAAGAGGAGTCATCACAGTCCAGCTGATCGAACCCCACTCACAAGAACAGAACTCGCTAACCAAACGAGGCTGATTAATTGGTGTAGAACCTTGTAGGCATGCCACAAATAAACTGCGCAATTAGCTAATCTAAATAGAGCAGAGCCAGTTGACCGCACGGACTATTGGTAAGTTGGGGGGTCGTACTTACTGGGGTCGTATTGGTGTGGCCAGAGACCACTTTTTTTTTAAAAGGACCCACGGTCGCAATTTAGAGCTCCACTATAGATGTATGAAAATGACGAAACTAGGAGAGTAGCCCCTTTTAAGGCCATTATTAAACCCTCTACCACTGACAGCCACTTTGGAAGGAAAAAGTGGGACGAGATAGAGCGCGTCGACTGGTCTCAGAGTTAAATACTGTAGAAAGCCATGATGTGAATGGTGGGGAGGGTGTCGTCTTTGGGGAGGAGGACCCCACCCAAGGTTGTGGTGGGATTGGGGGGAGCGTAAAGTTCTGCTCGGCAGTTGACTATACTAGTCGTCTGACTCAAAACACAGGCGGGATCTGTGAAAGCGGCCAGAGGCGCCGCCTACCATGTGCACCACGGGAGTCAAACTCTGGATAGCATGCTGTCCAGGCCAACCAAGCCATCCATTCCGGCCGGTCCGGTTGTCAGAATCCTCTGACTGGTGCATCGTTCGCCGCAAATCTCACTGCTCTGGCCGAATCGAAATCAATGCCACAGCGATCCTGGGTCAAAGTAGAACGAACGCGCTCCAAATTGGGGGGAATGCCGAAGCCTAATGTTCAGAGCATTGTGTGAAAAAAAGCTCGTGTGGAAAACCAGAATTTAAAGGAAGTGGTCACGGAAATTCCTATGGAGACGATAGGGAAAGTGACATAGTGGATTGGGTAGGGGTCCTACCCAATGGGACGACAGGTGACGCTTCAGGGCAGTGGCGCCTTATCAACGGCGTGATAAGGCGCCGAATTTGGCGTTACACCTTATCAGACGTGGAAGGGGATGCAACAGCAGCGTGCTAGATATGATACGGTTATCGTTATCGTTCGATTTTCATGCTGGAGTGCACCTCATTCCAAGCAGCCGTATCTTCTTATCTAATCGTCGTGTATCTTCCATAGGGTTACGCTCGTCCAACCACTATCTATCTCCGACCTTATCGGTTGATAACGCGGAGTTCGGCGATCCACGTGGAAGCCAGCGTTTCCTTAAATACCTCCAAGAGGAAGAAAGCCCAATGCAGCTTCAGTAAGATTCGAGAAGTCCAAGAAGGGCGGTAGTACGCCAATTTGAAAGACAGTCAACTCGGCCTACGATAGTATTTTCGCATCAAATCAATTAGCTAGTGGTAGAAAGTGCAATATATGGTGAAGGTAATTGTTATTATTTGCTTTCGATGCTTTTTGATGCTGCCTGATGCGATTCCTTGCCCAGCCAGACACGACATGCGGACGCGTGAAACGTCGGGTACGAAGCCCGTTACACCTTTTCTACATAATCAGATATTTTTTATTATTGGAATCCCGTGGATTCATTACTGTTTCAACACAAACTCCAAAGTCAACTGCGGAGTTAAAGGCACACCCCGCGATCAATAAAGTGCGGTTGTTGCACACGAGAATGAAAGTGTAAATGACTGAAATCGTTGAAGGAAAACAAAGGAAACCAACGAAAACTGAGATTAAGGGCCTCTGAAGGCCAGGGACGACGAGGCATTTTTTGAAGGCACGAGTCAGGATCGAATGGGCTAAGAGTGTAGAAATGAGAAATGGAACGCCAGTGAAGAAAAAACGAGAGAAAACCTGTCGACAAAGCCCAAAATGAAACCCCGACAGCAGCGAAGGAAAGTGGCTTGGGGGGGGTCCAAACGAATTTTCCGGACATGCTAGCCGTTGCTGAATCCGTGCCAGCAATCGATACGGCAATCATAGCACCATATCCAGTTAATTTTAGGTCGTATGCTAGCCATGAAGACGGAAGTGGTGTAGTGGCAAATGGCACGCTTACCACGCGAGCGGTTCTGGAATCCAGGGTCGTGAGCCGCCCGGGGCAGCCAAGCCTTCC